TTTTTTTTTTCCAGGCTGTTTTCAGGCTGTTGCTGTGCTTCAGCGGGTTTAAGACTCTGACTGAGAGCGTTTGAAATCACGGGTTTGAATCTTACATGGCACTGAGTGGACGTGGTGTTTGCTTCGGCCCACTGAGCACAAAGAGCATCACGGCGGCGTCCCATCTGTCTATACGATGACACCATGCCTCTTTGTCTCTCCCTGTTTGTCAGGCTGCACTCTGTACCTTCTAACAAGGATGAAAAAACAAAAAAAAGGAACATTTTTTTGTCTTAATCTTTAAAAAACGTACTGCAGATGCATAAAACAATCCATTGCTTAAGTTTTTTTTTTTTGACTGTCACATCCTTGTTTTACCTCAAAGCAGCTTTGAAATCCCAAAATAATGTTTCACCTAAAGATGTACGAGGAACATCTTCTATCTGAAAAAAAATGTCTCAAAAAGGAAAAGAATCTTCCAGTGTGGAGAGATTTCTTTTCAGTATGAAGGGATTATCATGTCTAATAGTTGAATTAAGGGCCGGTTAGAGCAACAACAGATTAGAAAAATCCCCTTAAATTGTTAGATATGACCAAGTGAACCCAAATCAGTGCATTAATCAGTGTGTAAAGCATTTATTAATAGATTTTTAACATTCTTAACCTGCAGAATTGACAAAAACAAAGAATTTTCATGACCTGACACTTCTTTTTGTGCTCCAATCTAATCTACGAAGCATTAAAAAAAGATAAACACTTTTATTTTTTTCAGTCTATTTCCAATACGAATTGGATTTTTAAAGGAATTTCGTTTATTATTATTAGCTGCATCACTTCCTGCAATGTTTGAATCAAGTTAGAATGCAACAGGAGTCAGTGAAGGAGAAGAAAAACCTACTAACAAATAACTTTCCTTTTTATTTTTTCATCTTTGAGACCAAAATAAGATTCTCTGGACATACTAAATGTGAAATCACGTTAAGCTCCTCCGTCCTTCTTTGCATCAAACAATAATTAATTGGTGAGATGACTGTTTTTGCAGTGTGGATGAACGCAGGAGGACATATGGTCTGAGGCGAACCGCGCCAGCATGAGCGCATCAGCCAACCCTCCAACTTTTCCTTCTCTGTTTGTCTCTTTGGCATCAGTTCAGTCGCTGTTGCTTTGTTCGCGTCTGATCTTGAAAGTGCACTTCCTCCAGAAAGGCAGCGAGTCTTCACGACAAATCCAATAAACCACGACTGAAGCGCTTTTAAACAGTTTATTTAGTCACTTTTGTTGAGTTCGTAACAAGCAGCAAAACAGCAACTAAAGGTTGAACGCAGGACTTGAAACTGCTTCTTTCTATTCCTTCTTTCTGACATTCGTCATCTAGCCGAAGAACTCTTTTACCTTCTTGAGGAAACTTTTGCCGTGGCTGTTGCAGAGTTTGGACTGACAGCAGTTGAAGGTAAATTGAGGGAGGGAATATCTGACGGCCAGAGTCATGAAGTCACAGTCTGTGTGCTGGATACAGCTGCTGTAGGTTTGTTCTGAGGAGAAACGGTGTGAGATCAATACTATTGTATTGATTATAACAGATACCAACAGCTGCGTTGGCATTTAATTAGAAATGACAGGCAAAGCAAGTCAGTTTGAATAAAGAGCAATAAAAAACTAATTCAGACACACCGAGATATGAAATAAATGGAAAAAGTGATGTTTTGTCAGATTTAGGGGAGTTATTACAAGATTGAGTTTCATTATTTTCTGAGATTTTAACCACGTCTCACAGTCTTCACCAATCAATCAATCAATCAATCAATCAATCAATCAATCAATCAATCAATCAATCAATCAATCAATCAATTAATCAATCATTACCTGCAAAGCACAGTTTATTCAAAGTGTTCCACAGATGATCGATAAATTGATTGCAAGAAAGAACTAAAAGACGCCAAAATAAAACTAGATCAGTGATTAAAGTCTGCTCAGTGCAGCGAGCGTGCTCAGTGTTTGAGGAAGTGAACACGGATGGTAACGGTAACCCTAACCCTGTCTTTCCATTTTAAAGGGGTTTTTTACATTTACAACGTAATAGCCACGGTTATGGTGGTGTTCTATCCCCCTCGCTGCCACCACCGATGGTGGAAACAGAAGTGTGAGCGCTAACTAAACTAGCATCAGCAGCCAAGTACTGCCTGTGTCTTCTGAACACTTCCACCCCAAGGGTGCACTCCGACGGGGTGGAAGTGGCCATTCAAGCATCAAGCCCTCCTTGTATCTCGACCTTTGTCTTGACAATCCGACAGAAAAGAAGGTTTTACATTTAGCCTCAGATCATCAAGTCATGACTGTATAACTGATGGCATCTCAACTCTGTCACATGGCACAGAAAACATGTTTCATTTCTTGTCTTGTCATGGTTTCCATCGAGGTGCAGGACTTTATACTGCAGTGAAAAATGAGCCTACAGTGAGGAAAAACGTTACAGGAGCAAACATCTGCTCAGGGTTCAGAGGGTTCAATGACAGTAAAGTTCAATTATTAATTCTTGACAGGATGATTATAAGTATTGAAGCAATGCATGAGCTGCCACAAGCTTTCCTCTCAATTCATCCATAATAGTTATTGTTTAACAGCACACACAATCTATATAATTTGCTTCATCACTGCTACTTTTGACTCATCCTTAGCGCCGCTCTTGAGTTTGAGGCAGCTGTCCTCCTCCTGGTTACACTCCTGAGTGGCCTCGCAGCTGGTGGAGGATCCATCAGGGCAGGAGTAGCACTGCAGCGAGACGCCTGGACACACACAGTTCAGCTGGGTCAAGTCCTGCATCCAGTCCAGCAGGTCTAATCAGTCAGTCCATGTCTGAGACCCAGCTTTAATTGAGGAGGAGTCAGAGCTTCTTACATTTAGAGAAGTAGCTTGACATTCTTGGGAATATGCCCGTGTTTGATTTGTAGCTGAGAGTTAGATGAGAAGGTTGACACGACTCCTGTGTCTGCGTGGTGGATGGAAAGGAGCTTCTCTAAAATTATATACAATTAATTACAGATAAAGAAATGCTGCTTCTGCGTATACAAGATCTGTCATTTTATAGATGTCCTTGTTAAATAAGAGATATCTTGTACAATAACTGACATTTTACAGCAAAAATACAAAAAAATAATTGTTGAATTAACTCGTTTTTATCAGAATAGGTCACACGTATATACATGTGCTATACATAATATATACATTGTAAATATATACTTATAGATATATGCAGTGTGACATGTGTATGGTGCTTTTAGGAAATTAAATGTTTTATTTGGGATTGATTTTAGTTTTTAGCATCTTTTAAATGGAGGCAATAAAGCAAAATATTTGAATAACTTGTAAAAGTGTGAATATTCCAAAATAAAAAATGCAAAGTGTTCAAATTAAGGCTTAAAATGTGTTTTAATTATCAAACATTACAGTGTTTTGATGAGGTGGTCATTAAGTTAGAACATTTGTGCTCCTCCAGATGCCTGAATACTGTTTTTTTCACATTATATTTTAGTTTTGATGGATTTAATGGAAACATTAAATGGAATCAGCCCTAAAGTGGAATCACACTGAAGTGGGCACAGCCAGAATGCATTTAAACGATATTCTGATGTTCTGAACTTAAACTCTAAAACTGTTTTGTTCAGTCTTTGAACATCAACAGTGGAACGACGTGCGGGGTTTTATAGTTCCGTCCCTCACACAGAAAAGGAACATGTTGTATTTCAAATAATATTTTGGAGTCTTGTCAATAAACCAAAGCGACAAAGCTGCGACTCAGCCGTGCACAAAGCAAACTGCATGTCCTGACACCTCGCAGGAAACGTCCTGAATGAATATTTATGGCGCGAAGCAGAAGCACATGCACACGGCACAGCGATCTGCTAAAATGTTCCCTCAGCCTGATCATCTCTCTGACTTTGTCCCACTTGGCTGCACTTTTCAGGCAAAAATAAATAAATAAAAGAGTGAGCATTAATGAAAGAGTTCCTTCTTCACTTCTGTTTTTTGTTTTTATGTTGTTTTTTTTTTTTTATTCTTACCAAATCCAAACGTGGCAAAGCTGACAGCCAGGCAAAACGCCACCGAGCCTCTCATTGTGACTGAAGGAACTGTCACGTCTGAAGAAACCAAACAAAAAGCACAGTTTCCAGCGTTGTCGCGGCAAGATAAAAGGCAGGGAATTAACTCTGAGCAAATAAAAATAAAGAATAGCACATGCAGGGAAACAACAGAAACGATAGAAGACGTGTCACCTCTGTGTCGGTCTTGCTGTTAAAGTTTGGTCAAGAATATTCTCTAACAAAGCAGCTTGATCTTTCTTTTTACTTTAATGGATTTCATGTATTCCTGCTGCGTTATCAAAAAGAACTCACAGAGACGCCAGAGTCACCAAAGAAAACACAAAAAGGCCGCCGAGCTTGATTTCAAAACAGTAATTGGAAGTACAGCAGCTTTAATTTCTGCTAGATGATCATTATTATTTTCAGTCCTGCAGCTGCCCAACACTCACCTGTGGATGTGAAGGAAACGACTGTTGGTTTGAGAGAAAGAAGCTTTTTGGTAAAACGTAAACAAGACATGTGTTTGTGTTCAGAGTCCATGTGTGGATCAGATACTGGCCAATAGAGGGATGGGTTTATGTAACACACAGAAAGAATTCATCGTTTTAGTTTTCTACAGTAATTTCTTTATTCCTCGTAACTTGCGAGACATTCGGGCTGTGTGGTTTAAATTTAGTAAAGACTAAAACAAACACTAACATATAGCGCTGTTCTCTGATGGCTCTTTGTGTGTAATAACATCACGTCAACTCTGCTCTTTTCTCTCAGTATCATCTTTAACATGTGGGTACATTCTCCTCACTGACATACCTACACATAGGTCAGTTCATCATATGTGAACATATCCATATGTACATTCATACCTTATACATTGTCTTTATGAAATGTTGGTATATTTTTATTTTTAGCCTTATTGCATTTTTAGTCATTTCATGCTATGTTATGCTATGCTATGCCATGCTAAACTATGTTATGTTATGCTATGTTGTGCTATGTTACGTTATGCTATGCAATGTTATGCTATGTTATGCTATGTTGTGCTATGCTGTGTTATGTTATGCTATGCTATGCTATGTTGTGTTATGCTATGCTATGTATGCTATTCTATATTATGCTATGTTATGTTATGCTATGCTTTGTTATATTATGCTATGCTGTGTTATGTTATGCTATGTTGTGCTATGCTATGTTATGCTATGTTTTGTTATGCTGTGTTATGCTGTTATGCTATCCTACGCTGTTATGCAATGCTATGCTATGTTGTGCTATGTTATGCTATGTTATGCTATGCTATGCTATGTTATGCAATGCTACGTTTTGCTATGTTATGTTATGCTATGCTGTTATGCTATGTTATGCTGTGCTATGTTATGTCATGCAATGCTATGCTATGCTTTGCTGTTATGCTATGCTATGCTATGTTATGCTATGCAGTTATTTTTTCCTCATCGCTTTAAAAACAGCTCCTTTAAACTTTAATTGCAACTATTTGATAGCCTTATATACCAGTATGTACAGAAGGCTAACTTTTTTATTTTTTTCAGTGGCTTTGGTACTTTTTTATTGGTCCTAATTATTTGTATTTTACATTTATTTTATCTTCAACTCAAGCCTTATATTTTGTTCATGTTTTGCCTTGTTTTAATATTTTAAACTTTTTTGTTCTCTTTTAGAAATCGATTGCTTTTTGCACTTATTTTTGCACTGCTCAGGTTGCTTTAAACACTGTGAATGAATAAACCTGATTTGATTTGATAAGTGATTAAAAACAGCCATACAGGAATGAGGACGATAACGAGCACTTTAAGGGGGAATTTGTCACGGAAGGCGAGAGGTTAGCGAGGCAAAGATGAAGCAGAATAGCGAGAAACGAGCAGAGGAACACATAAATAGCATGAAAGGAAGAGAAGGGAGTTAATGAGTGTGTGGGGACATTGTTTGCAGCGGTTGCAACATAAAGGGAAGAACAGTGAGTCTAGCATCCAGTTCAAAACACTCCGCCTGAACTGTGGAGTCATGAGCTGGGAAACTGGTAATGCTACAAGATTCATGCTCAAATTCATGCAAGTGTAATATCTCTGTCCATCAAAAGGGGAGAAAGCAGTCAACAGATTATAAATGAGAAGAAATGAATGAAGATTTACTGAATTTACAGCAGACGACCTCCAGAGGAAAGAAAACTAAGAGAAGAGCGACTGACAGCAAACATTTGATGTTAAAAGCCAAAAGTTATGCTTTGTTTAAACACTGTGGTGCCCTAATCTGTGTCTGTGCACATAACTTCATGTAATTGTCAAGCGAATTTTGAGCAAACTTTTGAAATGTCACAAAAAATTTCAAAAAGAAAACGAGAATTACCATAAATCCCGGACTACAAGCCACTACTTTTTTCACACGCTTTGAACACTGTGACTTAAACAATGATGCAGCTAATTTATGGATTGTTACGAATTTGCATCGAGACCAAAGTGACATCGAGGGTGACAACGAAAGAGAGACTGAGGAAGTGTGTGATGAAGTAATTCTGAGGCTGAAGGAGACGACTTTAGTGGTTTTAGTGCAGGAGGAAGATGAAGATAGCAATCAATGACTTTTCCTGGTAGGCTGCTGTGGTTTTTATTTTCTTAAACAGCCGTGTTACAGGCACTGTTCAGAAAAAAGCATTTACATATTTGTGTATGTGACTGGTACGTATTTAATTAAAAGTGGCTTATAGACAAGTGCGGCGTGTATATGTACAAGATTTTTTCTTTCTTAAGTTAGTGGGTGCAGCTTATATTCAGGTGCGCTCAACAGTCCGAAAGGTACGGTAGGATTGTTTCTATTAACTGCTTTGGTCACCGAGGCTGTGTAACGTCTTCAGAAGGTGTAAAGTTTAACTACAATAAACAGACCAGAAGAAGCCAAAGAACAGTTGTTTGCCATTCGCTAAAAACCTCAGAAAGAGTAAGAAACAAACCTAATATTGGTCATCTGCAAGAGAAAAATGGAGAAAAGTCTTCAAAAATGCTTTAAGTTGCAGTTGTTCTTTAATGTAGCTGCTGTTTAGAAATGTTTAATGCTGTCCAGACGCAAAGACGACGAATAAAGTGAAAACAGCTGATCAGCAGTGTGAGTTAAATGTTCGTTACTTCACAACTTATGCAATAAAAGGTGCTTCCATCTCCCATTATGTGCATCAACTCTTTTGTAGAAAAGTCAAAAACGGCTTTGATGAAATAAAATTTGTAAAGTTCTGGAAGGTATTTTTTAAATTTTCACCTTTTTTAATGCTGTACTTCAAAATGAACATAAAATATGTCTGAAATACAATTTGAACCAGGTTGTTGTGATTCATTTCACTTTTAAAACAGGTTTAATCGCACCAGTGTTTACAGACTCTAAGACTTTCATGCGCTCTCTAATTCATAGTTTTGATTTTAGGTATAAATATTGTTAAGTTGATTGTTGCTGGAGCTTTTCAAGTTTCCCTTCTGGCCTGGTGATGAACACAAGAAGACTTCTTGTGTTTCCAGAGTTCTCTCAAGTGTCTCTCATCCGTAGAGCCCAGCGTTGTTCATTTCAGCCTCACAGCTTTGAAGCTATGACTGATTGAATTTAGGGATATTTTTTCAGGTGGACATTTCAAATAGCCACAGGCTTAAGAGTATAAAGTACAGAGGAAATTGTTTAACAGTGAGAAATGTGTCTGTGTAAAATGAGACTTAAATGGCACCTAAAATTCCTGCATTTCTTATAACCTGAGGAGGATTTGACAAAGAAAAAGTTGGGTATTGTTCTTTTTTTTTTTTTAAACAAATTTCTGTGAGAGGAGCACAGCAGCGTTTTATTCCACCTAGAAGTGCCATCCAAAGTGTATCCAAAGTCTGATATAGTATCTTATCCTCCTGTGTCATAGATCTCCATTTCTGTCCAATAACTATTAAAAACACATCAGCGAGCCTCAGTGTTGCACTGGGAGACATTTTCCTTCATTACCACGAGCACCACCGCTGTAGTTTATTTTGAGTCGGTCCTACATGCATCATCCTGCTGTAAGAAACACTCACCAGAGCACCAAATGTGTATTAATGTGCAGCTGAAAATAGTCCCGAACACATTCTGTTTGAGTAGCATCAGCTGTTCAGGAAGGAACTGCCCTTCTTTTGAAAAAAAAATAAAACTATAAGTCATCATCTGGTTCACGGTATAGCTTCAGTAGGAAGGATTGCACTTGGGGCTTTATGCTACAGACAGAATAAAGAACAGAGAGGCTAATGCATTGTTAAAGCAGAAACTGCGATTCAAATCAGAGCAAAGTGCAGAGAAGCAGCATCTAAGCACTGTTCTGCTCACACTGGTTCTATCAGTTAAAGTCTCAAAACTGACTTTCCACAAACGTATTTTAATGTATAAATTATCAGACGTATGTTTGGAGATCAACTCTCAGTGATGCAGTGATGATTTTCCCAAGGGTTCATTAAAGTACAGTCGTGACTCGATAATCAGACCCTTAACAATCCTAAACCTTGCT